CTAACTGATCATATACGCCAACATCCCATCACAACAATGTCCAAAGCAATTTCTTCTGGAAGGTGACTGACAGTCACAAAATTTCATCATAAGCTAAAATGCCTCTGTGTTTATTGGGAGTCAGATGATCCCAACATAGAAGAGAGAAAGGACAGTTCCAAAAGAGGTGGAAAAGAGTTTCCTCAGTACCCTCTAAGCATAGGGCACAATTATAATCTTGTAAGAACATGCTTTGACTGTGCAAAAGATTCCTGGTGTTGATTCTGTCTTGCAGTAGCAGCCAATAGAAAATCTTATGTCTCAATCTGCATGCAGTGCTCCAGAGATTTTTAAAGATAATGTGAGCTGAGTTATTACCCACACTACAAGAAATATGTCAACTTGTTACCCTCACTATTGGTCTCTGAAAGGTCATAGTTTTTCATTTACGGTCTTTTTGTGACCAAAACCAGAAGGTCAAAAGCTGGCGTTCGTAAACTGAAATTAGTGACCTTCTTTGTCATATGTAAAAGGTCGTTGGTTCCATGACCAAATTTTTGGTCACTAGCAACCTCCTCAGGCCACGTAGGCATCCAGCATGGCAAGCTGATGTGGCACAAAATTCAGCCTGGTCCGATTCAGTGTCTATATGGGCCGAGCCCATTAATTCAGCCTTTTTAGTTATCATTTTTCTGTCATTCTGCTCTACTACATGGGCCTGGCCTAATATTTCAGCCTTTTTTGTTTTCGGGTCGAGGCCTTTCTGGCTCAACGGTTCGTATTTTTTTAGGAGATGGGTCCATTACTCAAATGGGTCCCGATTGTCATGTTCTAATATGTGGGTCCATGTTTTCAATTCATCGGTAAATAAATAACCAATATTCAAATCAAAACAACCAGAAAGCACAGATAATACTTCAAATAACAGCCAAAATAAGTCTATTACATCATACTCCCTCCGTCCGGGAAAAGTTGTCTCCGACGACATTTTGCGAAAATCACCTCCCCTTTCCTCCGACAAACAACACACTCCCCGCGCCAGAGCCAGAGCTCCCTTGCTCGTCTCCCCCTCGCCGGAGCTCCCCCCGCCAGAGCTCACCTCCTCTGCTCCCCCGCACAGCTCTCCCGCGCGTCGCCGGAGCTCCCTCTCCCCACGCCACTGCCGCGTTGCTTCCCCCCTCCTCGTTCCTCTCATCGTCCCCCCATGGCGAATCACGGCGAGGAAGGCTCGACTTTTTTCGATCTGCTATCCGACGGCGTCCTTCCCCGAGGGCGGCGAGCCGGAGCTTCCCCTGCGCGTCGTCGACCACCTCCTCATTGGCTGGACGTCGTCGACCACGAACCCAGTATTCTCCAAGCGCACGCCGCTGTGTGGGTCGCCGAGACGCCGAGGCCGAGGCGGAGCTCCAGGCCATCGAGGTGGCGTACGCCGCCGAGTCCGGCAAGCGCCGCCAACTCCCAGACTGGTCCAAGGCACCCGCCCCCGCCTCCGTCTGCCCATAGCCCAACCCAGTCCCCTCGCCCCCCTCCTGCCAAGGTGCGGCTCCCCCCTCTTCTTGCCTCCCGCTTTCCCCTTCTTGTACTCCAAAATGCTTCTTTTGAGTACATTAGCTGTCAATTTAGTCTATCTTGAAGCTTGGGAGCTTCTTTAGCAAGTTCACTGTAAAATTGAGTACAAGATCACGGAAAATTTTCTGGAGTGTATGTTCTGCAGTCACTGAATTTTCTCGAGTGCATGTTTACTGAATTTTGTGAAGTGTATGTTCACTGAATTTGGTTTTCAGTAGTGTTAAGAGTTCAAATCAATAGTGCAGGTTCGTGTACATGGCCACCCCTCATGGATATGCATTGGGGCGCTCCTGGGAGAGAGGATTCATGGCCATCCTAGCTAGCTGCTAGGTGGAGAACGTGTTAGGTTCTTGCTGTCCGTGGCAAAAGCTGGGGTGATCGAGTAGGAGTAGCTAGCAGTGTTGATGGTGTGTGGTGTAGAGAACCATGCAGATGTCATGGGCAGGCACTCATAGTCTAAATTTCATTGATGTCAAATTTTATTTATGTGTCAAGTTTGAAATCAACTTGACTGAACATCAACTTGTTCTGGTTTAGTGTAGAATCACTTAAGTAGATGGAGTAGTTATTTTTTATACTCTCACTGAAGACTGTGTTGCTAAATCGACATCAAGTTTAGGAACAAGTGTGTGTTCCTAAATAATCTTCAGTTTCCACTATATTTACTGTCAAGTCTGAAATTTTGATCTTTACTGTCAAGTCTGATTTGTCTCTGAACATTGGTTACAGTAAATTAGTGGTTAACTGGACATAAGGATTAGATCTTAGCTAGTGCTCTTTTCAGATGGCTTGTTCTCAAAATTTGGTACTCCATTAGAGTAACTTAATTCTCAATATTAACCGTTTCAGTTTCTAACAAGTTTCTTCCATGTGTTCTGAATTAAGTACAATCAATGATCAAGTGATCTCTTCTCCAAGTTGCCTGAAATTGAATCAGTCATTTAGTTAACTTGGATTTTTTTTCCAAAATCTGTACATTTAGTCAAGTTTCTTCCATGTGTTCTGAATTAAGTACACTATGGGATCATTTTATTTTACTGTAGATTTGCTTGCAACTGGTTTTAGAAGTATTGCTCGTTTTCCAATTTATGCTGTTTTTTGATCTTTTATGCATAGTTTTATTAGAAGTATTGCTTGTCAAAAGAGTGTTTAAAGATTTTAGGGCTATGTCTAGAAAATCATACCAAGGGTACAAAAGATGAAAGGAGATCTTTCTTGTTGTGGCCAAAAGAAAATGGATGGATATACGTAATGTAGGAGGAGGATCATGTTTTCAGTGCCTTAGTACACAAAAGTAGGCAAAGTTTCTGTAAGAATATACTTAAATCAAGTTTATTCAGTTAACTAAATCAAGTTTATTCAGTTAAGGACAGAATTATTTTGATCAAGTAATTACTGTGACAACATTGCAACATTTCTTCAGAGTACATGATCAGTTTTGCCCCTTTTTAGTAAAGAGGTGCAGCAACTTTCTGGGATTTCTAAAACTTTAGTCACCGGGACAATATACAGTCACCTGGGAGTCACCTGGGATTTCTGAAACAATAGCGCCACTTGGACAATTCAAAACAGTTAACTAAAAGTGTCTAAAACAGTTAAGTGTTTCTGGGATTTCTTTTTTCTTCTGCAAGGCATGATTTCTTTTTTCTTCTTCTTTTTTCTCTGGTGTGTCATGTCTTTTTTTAGACTAAAAGTGAATCAGAGCAAAAATCTTCTATGTCAGTGTGCTAGAAATAAGAAGACAAAATTGGACTAAAATGAATGACTGAAATTGGACAATTGGAAACTTTAGGCATGTTTGCAATTGGACAAATGGTGTATAAATCCAAATAAATCAAATAAATTCAAATGATTCAAATAATCTTAGTTTGCAATTGGAAACTTTAGGCATGTTTGCAATTGGATAAATGGTGCACACTTGTTTATTTCCTCTCTAGTGGCCTAATTCTAGTGGAACTTTGGTTGGTTAGTGCTCTTCTGTTGCTTTTGACTAATCTTAGTTTGACGGACCTGACTTGTGCTCATTTCCAGTGGACTTCACATTCCAAAGGAGGGACAGAATCTGGAGTAATTGATTATTTCCAAAATCTGGAGTAATCTTCTCAAGTTACATGATCAGTTGTGCTTGACTGAAAATTTTCACAGGAAAATTTTGACTGGAGTAACAGAGGCATAACAGACTTTCCTAAACTAAGGACGGGAAATAAGAAGGTGAGCATATCTTCTAAATTAATAATACTCAACTCAACCCTTCCTAGAATGGGGTATTATCTGTCCCGATAAATAGATAATTCCAGGAGTAATAAATAGGAGTAAATTAAATAAAGTATTGATATAATTGGAATTGCGGAAGCAAATACCAATTTACTAAAAAAAGAAAAAAGTATCTAATCGAAATCGAAAGAATTTTTTTTAAGATTAAACAAAAGGGTTCGCAAATAAAAGCGCTAGTGCCACAACTAGTCCATAAATTGTTAAAGCTTCCATAAAAGCTAGACTAAGCAGTACAAATTACAGGTATAGATTGCTCTGTTCAACAAACTTCCTATCAGTCCAACAATGTTTCTGAATCTAAACTTTTTCAGTTAACAGAACCTGAACCTGAACATGTTCAGTTAACAGAACCTGAACTTTTTAACCTTCCCTCTCCCTTTTAGGCGAATGTGGATGTTGCACACTATTGTGAAGGTGTAGCACTGCCCAATTAAATTTCCACTTCACATATCTACTTCAATTTCTACTACAAATTCACCTTTTCAACAGCAGACGCGGGGCAGAGAAGTCAGACGGCGAGGATGAGCAGAAGCATCAGACGGCGAGGAGGAGCAGAAGCATCAGACGGCGAGGACTCGATCTGGGGGCGTTGGCTTCGCCCAACAGCTGCAGCATCAGAGGCTGAAGGGAATCGCGGCGACAGCAGAAGGAAGCGGCGGCCGGCGACTTGCCCAAATCCCGCACCGGCGGCCGCGGGCGCGAGGAATCGGGCAGAGGATGAGGGCGCGGGCCGCACCGGCTAGGGACGCGAGCAGGGCGACGAGGGAGGTGCCTTCAGCCGTGGAGGAGGCGGGCGTCCAGTTGGTCGCCGCGGAGGAGCAGTCACCTCCGTGTGGGCGGCGGCGCAGCTCGCCTTCGTGCAGGCGGCGCAGGCGGGCAGGGGCGCCGCGGATTGGCAGCGGCGGCGCAGCGGCGATGTAGGTGGACGGCAGCGCGCTGGGCTCTACGGTGGCTGCCGACGGCGCGCTGGGCTTGTTCCTGCCGCGGGCGTCCGGAGGAGGAAGAAGCAAAGGGGTAATTAGCAGGAGATTTAAAATCTTAAGGGTTTATTTGCAAAAATCATAATGAACTACGCCGTGGACAACTTTTCCCGGACGGAGGGAGTATAACTTAGATACAATGGTAATCACAGCCACAAGCTCAACAAGTCTCTACAAGTGTAATCACAACCACAAGATCTACAAGTGCCCTTTGACAGCTTCGTGTGGCCCTTCGGTTTCTATCAGTCCCGATTTGAGGAACACACCAGGCTTCAGGGTCTTCTCCATAGTGTCGACCAAGATCTCACCCTTCATCGGCATCAGAGTGATGCACCTGAACATGGCAGGGAAAAGGATTACCTACCAAAAGCCAAATTTATACAAGATATCACCCTTTCAGTGGTGCAGAATATCAGAGAACGGTGCTTCAGCATTATAGGGCATGGAAATGTAAAATGCAATTTTTTCACAAAGGGCGTACAATCGCAAATTTACTATCCAGAAAATTAAATTAGAAAAAATGAATGAAACAGTGAAGTGCATGTCAGCCTTAGTGTTTCTACTTCCTACAAATGACTGAGAACCATGGTGTTTCAACCTTTTGTAGAACACTATTCTATAACAATATATATTGAGCATGCTACAGCAGAAGCTTGAATTTATGGTTTCTATACTTCTACATTTACATCCTCACTAATATAGACCTTTTTGCTTCATACAGTACACGGCAATAGGAGCAAAATTCCAATAAATTCATTACAGGCTTGCCAAAAAAGACTAGTTACCTACACACCAGGGAATATAAACTTGAGAGGTTGATATCAAGGCCTATCAAAAAACAAGGCCATATGGCCGACCAATGCATCATAATTATCAGTTTTAAACACTACAGGACCAGAAAGTAGGTGTTGCTTCAAGTTTTAAAACTCAACCATTCATCATTAATAGTAGCAATTTAATCTTACTAAAGATAGGGGCATGTACAATGGGAGAGCACACTATAGCCAGAACTTACATGCAAAGATCCTGGAATTTTATGCACAACAGCAGCAGATTAGCTATATGAACACAATACCAGAATTTTATGCAACGTGAGAGCACACTATAGCCATAACCTACACACTACTACTCAACTACTGTACATGCATAGTACTCTGTCAGTAAGCAGCAGAGGAGATTTAAAAGGAAGGACCATGTGCGTGTGTGTGTGTGTCAAAAACTGAATATCACTAGTCACCCTGCAGACAGCAAGTTTCAGATGTTAAGAACAGATCAACATGTTGAGCAGTTAGGGAATCACGAGAAGGAAGTGGGAGGGTGGATCACGATGGTCTCACCTTGCTGTCTGCAGGGCAAGGTATGCCCCCTCCTTGCTACCAGGGCAAGGCATGCCCCCTTGGCGGCGTACTGGTAAGCCAGTTGCTGCATGTAGAAGAGAAGATCCCAAGTTGTTTGGAGTTAACAATGAAAGTACTGTATAATGTTTAGAACATGTATATTCAATATGACAAGTAGAAAAGCAGAGTTCTAGCAGAGTAGCATAAGAAGCAGAGGAATTCTGATTCTGTAACAAGAGGAAACGGAGTTGTCATGTGCAACAAGAGGAATTCTGATTTTGTAACAAGAGGTAGAATTAGCATCACTAGCTATGTTGTTGTTGTTGTTTGCATATTACTCCCTCCGTTCCTAAATACTTGTCTTTCTAGGCATTTTAACAAGTGACTACATACGGAGCAAAATGAGTGAATCTACACTCTAAAATATGTCTGCATACATCCGTATGTAGTAGTCATTTGAAATGTCTAGAAAGACAAGTATTTAGGAACGGAGGGAGTACATAAGTAGTTGTCTGCCTAAGCAAATAGAGAGGTATATGCAGCAAGAACACGCAATGTGATGACAGTATGAGTGCACTATAACTCTGGAAGTAAAAAGAACATAAATTCATTTGGGTTGGTTTGTACACAGCCAAGAAAAACTTCTTACAAATAAATTCATGGAAGCATATCATCCTTTTAGTCCCTCACCCATATCTCCTAGTAGTATTACATAATGCCTAGTGAGTGATCTAGCAATGCACTGTACAAGAGAGTATATATGTGTACAGATTCCTGCAGCCAGCTTCTATCAGTAACATGCATGTATATATTGAAGTAAACGTAACAAAGAGTATCTTTGGAAACATTCAAAATATATTCAATGTTAGAGCTGCATCTTACAACTCAAGGAGCCACATGAAATCCATGGAAGGACCTTACTGCGACAATTCACTTGTATAGTCATGCCTCATGTGCATAATGCTGTTGCAAACAAAATTGTTGGTAAAGTTGCATAAATACAAGTGTCTAAGTTAGAAATCACTGGAGTGTCAGACTCATGCATCTAACAACAGGCCCATCCATTTGCAACAGGCAAGTACTCCCAAAACTCTTTGTAAACTGAGAACACCTAGGCAGTAAGCACTAAGCACAAAGACAACAGGATTGAGCTATTCACATGCTCATGGCATACATAGGAGATTAGTGTTGAATACAATGTCTTGCATTTACTGAGAAAAACATATACAATGCCATTTACTGAAGCTGTGTGTAAACATGACTAAGCTTGATAGATACAGGGAAGAATAAAACTGAATAAGATAGCAGTTAACGACCTTATAGCTTTGAATGGAAACCCATAGCAAGCATATATAAAAATTATCGGGGTTGGTGGGATGGATGAGCTATTCGCAGCTCACATAGGACGATGACAAGAACCTGCAGACCGCGAAGGCAAGAAGGTCAGAGAAGGAGCCCACCAGAGCAACAATCAAATGAAGCAGGACATCTGGTAGGTCTGCCCAACCTTGATGTCCAGAAATGGCGAGGACGCAACACACATCAGCCCTTTCTTGCATTCTGCAGGTTGCAGCTTCTCTGTGAAAAATTATGAATTCAGAGAAGAATATCAGTACTAGAAGAATATGAAGTGGATGCTAAGGATTAAAATAGACTGTGTGCAGTGGCCGTAAGCATCGATTGTGGAAATAGTAGCACTGGCTACTATGGCTACAGCGACGCCAAGCAATTCAACGAAGCAACGACCACCATACAGAGCTAAGGACTGACTACTACGGCTAGTAAGTGTTCGTAAATCAAAACAGATCATTCCAAACTGTTATAAGGTCATACTGGATAATAGAGATCGCAATTATTCTAACTGAACTACACAAGAGTACGTCTTCTGCAGCACAGCACAAAAGAAAATTTTGTTACTCCGGAATAACAAAAGAAATTACAATCACACATCTGAAACAAACTAAATAAGTGTAGCGTGCACAATCAGGCGCGCTGTAGTGTACTAAACTCTACTCGAGCGCATGCAATGGCACTGAATCAGCCAATGAACGAACCAGAGCACATTAACCAAACCGCCATCCCCCCATGCACTGCAGCGAGGTCAAACAGGCGCAGCGGCATGTGAGGTGCGAAACAAAGGAGCTGAGCATGAATGATCCTTGGCCAGTTGTGAGCGCTCGCTGCCATGGAACCGGCCACCACAAATCAGGTGCCACCACAGCGGCCAGCCGCAGATCTCAGGCTCGCGGCGGGGCGCCAGGGCCCGGATCTCGCAGATCCGCGCGTGCAGTCCCGGTGGCCACGCTCGTACGCGAGCGGACCCGGAGCTCAGCTCGCGGAGAGAACACAGGGATGCGTGTGGTTAGTTACCTTCGGGCTCGGCAGCGTCGTGGTCGGCGTCGGGGCGGTCCTGCGGGGGCAGCGGGGAGGAGAGGGGCGCGCGCTTGGGCACGGCTAGGGCGAGGAGGCGTAGGGGGAG